CCCCAGTGGATAGCTGAGGTTGAGTAAGGAGAACCTCCTGCCCTACCCCTCTCACTAGGCCATCCCACGGGCTGGGAGAGGTGTTTGGCCAGGCGCCTTTCACTGATGAGGAAGATGAAGCAGGTAACAGAATGGCTGGCTGAAACAGGGAGGAGCTCTCGTGTAGGAATTACCCTGGTCATTTAAATGGTGGCGAAGTCCTTCTCAGAAATAGCATTGACCCAGTACACACAGAGATGAAAGGAAACCAGTGGGCTAGATGAAATCAGGCAGCGTCTAAAATAAATGTACAAGAGCTACCTTTTCAAAAATATTTTTAAAAATATTTTTAAATTGATTTTGAGAGAGAGAGGTAGAGAGAGAAACACTGATGTGAGAGTGAAACATCAATCGGCTGCCTCCTGCACGCCCCCTAACGGGGATCGAGCCCACAACCCGGGCATGTGCCCTGATCAGGAACTGAACCGGCAACATTTCGGCGCATGGGACGACTGCCATCCAACTGAGCCACACCGGCCAGGGCACTTTAAACATTATCTATCATACAGTAAAATTGACTTTTCCCCTCTGGCATATATTCCTATGAATTTTAACACATACATAGATTCATTGAACTGCTACCACAGTTAAGATACAGAATAGTTCCCTCATCCCCCAAACCTCCCTAATTCTCTTTATAGTTACATTCTCTCCCAACCCACAACCCCTGGCAACCCCTGGCAACCACTCTTTTCCATCACCGTAGTTTTGTGTGTGAAGCTGGAGAACCACTTATCTCCTGACTTCTCAACCCCAGTCCTGTCTGTACGCCTTCCTCCACCTGCCCCGCGTGGTCCTCGCCGACCCAGGTGGCACCTGCTTGCTATTTTCAGGGGCTCGCGATGGCTTCAGTCCCTTTGCCAATGTAGCAGAAACCGCCGTCTGTGTGCCAGCTCTGCGGCGGGACGCAGCAGCTGAGACTCAGAAGCGGGGCTGGGTGCCTTCTGGTTTCCCCGCAGCCTCAATCCCCCCACGCGCTCCCTGACCTCGTTTTCCCCCCTCGGTCGCTTGCAACACCAGCTGAAAAAGTTTCTGGGACACAGCCACCTGGGCTGAGTGCTGGAGGTGGCAGGTGTGTTCTCGCTGAGACAGGGCGAGTGAGACAGGAATGTGTGTGGTTGGCACGCTGCTTAACAAAGGAGGGAGAAAGTCAGGCCCTGCAAGACCCAGGGCGGCAACCTTTGTGTTGGGGATGGTGGGGAGCAGGGGAAAGGAAAGATAGACGTTCATGAAGAAGGGGTGATGCTGGGAAGTGGCCCAGGTTCTTGCCCCGCCTATGGTGTTGCTTTGAACTTTCTCTTTGGGGAAGTGAAGTTGGCCACCAAGTTTGCTCCTAGAATCAACTCATAGTTCCCGAAGGGTCTTGGAAGTAAGCTGCCAAGCCAGTGCACGCCGGGCGGAATCACACCCCTGAATCATGGCCATGGGTCATTTGGAGACAAAACAAACCAGAAATCAGGGTACCAGGGAGCATCTGTGGAAGACACCTAATTAACAATTAAGGGGGTGAATGAAAGAGGGTGTGTAATTTGGAGTGGAAAGTGTTGAGTCACTTCAAAAACAATAACAGGTAACACTTATTGAGCACTTAATCTGAACCAGTCACTGTGCGAGGAGCTAATTGACATGAATCACCTCATTTATTTCTCACAACAACCCTCTGCAGCAGGTATTACTCTTACCTCCAATTTACAGTTGGGGAACCGGAGGCCCTGAGGTCCAAGTGACTCACTCACATTATACAACCACTGAGGAGAAGCAACAAGATTTGAATACTGATCTTTTTCAAACCTAAGTTCCCAAATACTTAGCTTTGCTGCTTTACTGCCCATCTTAATTCAGAAATACTATGAGAGGGTCACAGAGGAGGGGGAAGGGAAAGAGATCAGCTATTCAGGAGCCCAGAATCTTCTCAAAGGCTTGCAAAGTTCCTTTGGCTCAGCTGCAGTCTGCGAAGCGATAAGAACCAGCGGGACTTACAGCCAGGGCCTCCCAGGAGTCTGTTGATCTTACCTGCTGGTCTGATATAATTGCATGTGGTAGAAACCTACAGCCATTTCTCAAGTTTCCTTTTTTACACAATAGGCTTGGGAGGGTTTCAGACAGGTAGGCACAATGGCCTATTTTTTTTCTGTCTTGGGCTGGCACCACCAAGTGTGACTATTGGTTCCACCCTAGCATACTGGCTGGCACATGAAGCACCAGGCCTCTCGGAGCCAACACAAAGATCTTGATGAGATTGTTCACCAGAGGAGCCTATGTGAGCAGGACAGACGCTGGACTTAGAAAGCTCACGGACTGGGAGTTGAATGAATTCCTTCGAGCTCCAGGTTAACATCAGGTCCTCTGGGGGAGGTGTTTTACAAATGGTACCCTGTGACAACAGCTTGTTTATATCCTGGGGGACGAGTACTTTATACTTAGTATTATCCTGGCCTGGACTCATCAGAGACTCAAGTTCAATAATAATACCTATTATACTCTCCAGCAAGGGCTATCACTACTGTGTTTTGTGGAATGCCTCATGCACAGCAGGGTACAATAAACAGTCAATAATAATGTTTACTGTGATAAGGATCTTCCAGGTGCCTTTCATCTAAGGATCTCAAAGTGCTTGGCAAACACTAATTAGTGAAGTCTCTCAATGGCTCTCTGTTTTTACAATACATTTTCCCATTTTATAGAAATTTAAATTGGGACCCAGCGAGCTTAAGTGGCTTGCCCAAAGTCATACAGCAAGTTTAAATTAATGATAATGATGATGCTTTGCATTTCATGTAATGCATATGCATTCCACAGGAAATGCTTTCTACGGTGCTGTGAGTACATGGGAGAAGGTGGGTAGCGAGGATTATTAACTGTTGACTAGACTGGGTAAGCTGAGGCGGAGAGGGCAAGTCTTAGTGAGGATGCAAGTCTGCTCTGCTAGCTCTCAGAACTTCTGCACTGAGGGAGGCACAATTGCTCTCACACTTACAGGGAAGACAGCTACATTTTGGAGCAGAACAGGCTGCAGAAGGACATATTTACATCCAGGAATAAGTCTTTTCACATCCCCATTGAGACATCCCCAATGAAGGAAACGGGGGCCGATGGTGGTGGCCGCCAGCTCTGCTCTCTTGCATCTTTAGGAAACCAGGTGCTGCCTGAAAGCAGAACCCCTCAAGGGCTTCTTTCTGTGTCTTAGCTTCATGGACAGGTCTTGGTCCTGGGAGACTCCGGGGATGGGCCGTCACTGGCACCGTGCTCTGATGTTACAAGTCCCTGTGAAAGAGTTCCAGGGACATGCAGTATCTTAACGGCTGCCTCTTACGTGTGACCGGCTCTCCTCCCCATAACTCCCTCTGCCAGGAATCCTGGCAGAATCCTCTAGGGTTCAAAAACTTGGTAGCTATGGATCCATTCGTTGCTACCTTTTCTTGGCAACGCAGCCACATTGAAAAAGACAAAAACATGAACAAAAACATTCAGAGGCGATAAGGGATTTGCCTCCTCCCAGTCTGGCAACACTTTCGTAGTAAAAAAATGATACTCTACCAAGAGGCAAGTCAGACTCTGCCGAGTGGGGGAGAGCAGAGGTTGCTCGGTCTTGGGAATTTAAAGGGAGATTTGCTGGCTGGAGTTAGAGCCCCTTCTCTATGAGATTTTCTATAAACAAGGCATATCTGGGAGAAGCTGGCTCCCCTACCCCACCCTGCCTTTTCCAAGCCTGTGGATTCTGACTGATGGCTGGAGCTAATCGGGAGCCTTAAAGAAGGGCGCCAGGACCTTTTCTGGGATGTGTTTCACACACACAAGCACAATGGCCGTGAAAAGCCCTAAGAAATCACGCCAATGCCTGCTTCTTCCCGCTCTCACTTTTGAATGTTTGCACACTTCGCGGCGGCTGGAAGTGCAGTGAACCAAAGGAGGGCGAGCTGTTGCAGGAAATACTTTATACAGTTGTCTGAATGCACATCACAAGCCTGCTCTCCTTCGCTGGGAAGGAATCTGGACGACCCTCCCCTCCCACCCACTGTTACGCTTCCCAGCAGGGAGCCCGGGACCCTGCCGCTATTAGTACTAAGACTTTCCAGAGTGCAGCTCTGACTTTCTAAGTATGCCAGGGACTCAGGCCACAGCTTGCCATGTCCGCATTGGCACACTGACTCCTGGGGTGACAGTGCAAATAATCCCGCTGGCCTCGCAAGGACCACATCCTTCTCGAGAGATGTGCCCTCACACAGCTTCTCCAACGAGGCTCCCAGCCAGGTCGGACAAAGTCCTCGGGATGTGCTTGCCCGGCCAGGCAGAGCGAGCGCCCGTTTGGGTTTTTACTGCAGCCTCTGATGCGCGCATTTTACGCGTTTTATCCATTCCGTAAAGTAAGACACATCTGCTGCACTCCGCAGCCCACCCTTCCTATCAATCAGTCCACCCACACGGCCGCTTCCCTCCTGCACGACCTTCGGGTGCCAAGTGCCTTGATGGCTTTGAATGGATTGTAAATGAACATTGTCATCATGGCACTTTACGACCGGCTTGGGGTGGGAGGATGGATTTGGGTAAAGTTCAAACTAAACCTGACATTTAGAAATTTCTCAGAGATCCCCAAAGCAACAAGCGGTTGGATTTGTTCTCTCTCTTTCCCATTCTTCGTGCGTTTCCCATGCATTGGGTTGGCCTCGGAACAGCAGAAGTGAAAGACCAAAAATATAATAATCAAGAAGGCTTTCTGATCCTACAACCCTCTGCACAAGAAACGGGGTAGCTGTACCAATTCTAAGAATTCCAGGAAGCATTAGAGGCTCAGGGTTCCACCAAACTTCAGCGAAGGGTCACTGTGCACAGAAACTTATCTTTGGGGATTCCTGGCAGCACCTCTTTTGAATCGCACCCGAAAGAGACAAAACCCCAACTGCTGGCGTACACAAACCCAGCCTCCCGGGGCACATCATATGAACAAACGAGATCGTTCTTACCCCATCCATGTGGATTCTGATGTTAGGCACGAGCCGGAAAGGGCCGGACTGCAGACCTCTGGGGTGAGCCCTGCTTTTCCTGCCGTCCTGCAAGGCCAGGGCGCCGGGCCTGCGGAGGGAGCCCCTTCTGACCGAGCCCTGCCCCGAGCGCACACTGTCCAGAAGGCGCACAAGCAGCAGGTTGGCCGGCAGCGCCTCGATGCTGCAAAACACCAGGGTCCTGCACTCGGGGCACCTCAGCTCCTTGTGGGCCTTGGAAATCCTCTGGAGACATGGTTTGCAGAAGGTGTGCTGGCAAGGGAGGACTTTGGCTGTGACATCGAGCTTTTCCAGGCACACGGGGCACTCCAGAAGATCAAGTAACGTCAGATCATCCATCTTATTTTAAAACTCCAGCCCTGACCCTGAGGGGCAGCGTCCACATTGTAGGGTCAGCTGAGCCAAGGGGGTCAGAGCCGGTCTCTTGAGAGCGTCACAATTCCTGCCTGTTTGAAGGAGAAAGGGAGAGAGGAAAAAAGAGATTGCTCTGGAGAGATCCCACCTACGTGGAGGCAGCGTCTCATGAGGCAGTTTGCAAGTGCTCTGTGCCAGCACCAAGTTTCAGTGACTCATCTGGATGCAGCGCCAGCAGGTACAAGACCTGCCTCCTGCCTGCCGGAGGACCCAGGGGGCGTTGAGCACAGCGACCGCGTGTTCACCGCCTCTCCTTGCGCAAGGCAGGAGCAGGGACGCAAAACTGGCCTGCGGAAGGGGCCTACCCACGCCCGGTCCCAGCCGGGGCTCCCAGGGGTCCTTTACCCCTCCAGACGGCCGGTCCCGGGCCTCAAGTCCAAGCGCTCTGGGAATGCACTGCCCGTGGCGCTAGCTGCTGGCTGTCTGTCCTTCCCCCCCAGGGTTTGAGTTGCCCTCTGCAGCACGCACAGATCAGGTCAGCGTACACAGTTAAGTTTCCCTGAAGCTCATGCAGGTGGAGGAATATTTCCTGCACAGAGCGTCTTGCCCCTCCGTTTCGTGCTAGCCAGGTACGAGAAACGCGGCGGCTAGAAACCCGTTTTCGAAGACAGAGACAGTAGCCTCAGAGACAATAGCCTCAGAGACAGAATTCCTCCCGCAAGAGAAAGCCAAGCAGCCTGTTTAGTTACTTTGACAGTTGTTCTCAGTCTCAACTGCAGCAGGTAGGAATTCTGGATTGTGCGAATGCCAAGACCGAGCGGCGTATACAGGTGTGCGTGTGTGTGTGTGTGGTTTCCAGAAAGTTTCCTTTCGGATGAATGAAAAGAAGTCTCCAGTTTAGAAAAGCCTCCTGGGAACAGGCCTCCTGTCCCTTGCCAGTGCCGAGGCTTGGGCGAAGGAGGCAGCAGCCGGGGAGGGCGGGTGGCCCCCCGGGAAGCAAAGCAGACCCGGCCCAGCGGGACGGGAGATGGCGCCTCGCCTTCCCGGGACAACTGCCCCGAGATGTCGCGCTGGGGAGGTGCGCGGTGGCCACTAACCTTGAGCTCTAACCCCAGCTGCGCTCAGCTCAGCGCGGTCCTCTGCTCCGGGCTCCCTCCAACTGGCTTCCTTGGCCACCCAGCCAGGCCGCCGCCTTGAAAACTTGAACAACTCTGCGTCCTGCTCCTCGCCAGGGATCGCCTTACCCAGCCCAGTTAACCCTTTCACCGCTGGGCGGCCCGCAGCGGTTTCCTTTCGGTTCACTCTCTGCTACGGATCCTTCCTTAAAGTAACAGTCGGTTTCTGGGAAAAGCATATTAAGGGGCAAAAATACAAGGCATCCCGGAAGGCCAAGTATTTACAGTTTATATTTCCACCTTTCTCCATGTCTCTCCTATCCGAGAAGTTTGGAACACGTTCAGTTATAAACATGCAAAGGCGACTGTGTTTATTTTAAGCCTTTATAAGGAGTAATGGAAATGGTCAAACAGATTAATGGGAGCTATGGTAACAAAGAGAAGCCGGCCACCTAAAAAGTACTGTTCCCTAAAAATCCTAGTCAGTCCTTGAATTTAGAGGTTTGAGAGAGACTTCAGTGGTCTTTTTGTTCAATCTATTTAAATAAATACAGTCGCC